TACAACACATTCACTTCTCCTTACCAAGTGCTTCCCTTTTAATTTACCGGCATGGACTGACCCTGCATCATCTTTTACAATTTTGACACATCTGTCACTAGCACGCTGCCCCACTTTGCTTTGAGAGGCAAGGATTTCTTAGGGTGATGTCTTTTTTTGGATCAACTTTGTAGTCAAGATAGAGTTAGACAAGCTTTCAAATGCCAGGCATTCTTCATCATGTCTGACCAGATAACGCTAAGCATACTTTACTGGGTTACATTTGACCTCTCCAGTACCTCCTAAGGGCCAGGCCTAAGTTTTCCCTGCTATCCATGGACATGTCTACACTGTAAACATGCCATGCTGCTCTACACAAGCCAACTCCTGAACTAAAAGCAGTGTAGTTGCTTCCAGAACAGATAAATTAGCAATGACCGTCAGCAGTGTTAGTTTTCCCAGGTGCAGCGTTATGCAAATACTGCTATTTTGCTTCTGGTTCAAGAGGTAGTGGCAAAGAATTGTGTGGCATGTTTGAGGGAGCCACTGTGTAGCACAGTAAGTGCAATAAGCCTTCTCTCTCCATGTATTACCACACAGTATTTCTCAGACATTGGTTACTGTAACTGAGTACAAGCATGTGCCTCCTTTCCAGTGCATTTTTATACTCAGAATGATAATGAAGGCATAGGCATGTCCAGGCCACTCTTTTCCTCCCACTCCCCACTCTTTTCCTCCCCAGATACTACACCACCGTGAAAAGAAGTACAAAGCCCAGTGTGAGCCATAACTGCCATTTCCCTGGGAAACTGTTACTGCCCATTAAGCAGTTCTTCAGAATGATAAAAGAGCTGTGCCCTTCTTGTCTTCTCTCACTCGTGCTGCTGTGGCCTTTCCACATGCAAGGGTTACTGTGTCACAAGATGGCAGATGCTCATTACGTTGGCTTAAAGTCTAAACCTCACTTACTCATCACTTCCTCTAAGCCCCGTTCAGTGGCATTGCATGTGTAGTGTCACATGGAGGGAATTGGATCTGTGGGCCAGCTGGCTTGAAAGCAAGCAGTCAGAAAGCTCAACATTTGAAGAAACAGGAAGAAGAAAAAGATTTTAAATCACAAACAGAAGTCACTACAGAAACTGTTCCCAAGGAGGGGAGCAGGATGAAGTTTGTTTAAGCATCTGTCAGACAAATTGGGAGTCTAGTAAGGGGATAGACAGAGGACAATATGCACACAAATCATTTCCACTGCTTCACTGTAAGCCTAATGAGTGAATTTGCAGAACAGAAGCAAAAACAATCATGGCAAAGTACATGTATACATGTGTTGGAAAGAGAGAGATGGCTTTAAGTACAACTTCTCCACATGTGAGTAACAGGCAACTGAAAGAAGCAAAAGTGTCCTTCAGCTATCTAACGTGGCAGTTTAACATGCCTATTTAAAAATGTAGCTACACAACTTGGAAAAAAATGCTGCAAGGATAACCCACTTTGTCTAAATCCCCAGTTTAGTTGTTTTTTCATTACTATTTTATATTACTATTATATAGTCCCTGCCTATAACTGGAATTAACCCTGATTCAGTCACTGAGGGCCAAGAACTGGTGTTGCCCTGGCTGAAATAGAGGTAAGCGCAACCACTGTAAATTATGGCTGCCTTGGTCTACCCTGGCACTGGCAGAGGTGCAGTGATACTCCCCACCCATGGTCTGCTCCTGATCCCCTCCCTACTTTGCATGTCTTTGGTATGAATTAAAAATAGTGAAGAGTGAATGATGAATTAAAAACTGAAGAGCTTTATCTGGCCTGCTTTTTTCTGTGGGAGAGCTCATTTAACAACCAGGAACATCAAGATTTTCCCTTTTTTATTCATCTCCCATCTCTTTGAGTGGTTCAGAAGTGGGCTTTCTGTCTCTTCCCTTTCTGATAAGGACAGAATTCCCTCCCCAGGAGGAAGGAGAGGCATTTTCTTGGGAATACCTTGAGGAGTATTGTGAGCCGCATGAAGCATCACCAAGGGAGGACTGCAGTTTCCATTTGAGAAGTGTGATATGAAGGGATTTTAGGTCAGTCATGTTTCCTTCCCGCAGTTGCTGCCAGGAGACTGAATTATTTAGCAGTAACAAGTTATAATAGACTAGATTGTCTCTGATAGCAGGAAAAACCTACTTGGGGAGCAGGAAACTCCCTAGGAACCAGTGTATAGTTTTTGCCATGCATAATGCAGAAGTGTCCCCTTGCTCTCAGTGGGACCAACAGCCCTGCCAACATGTGGATATAATAGGACCCATGCAGATCACAAGATTTTTGTAGAGAGCAAGGCTATCTGCACGGCACTCCAGTGCTTCGACAAGCTGCCTAAGTCATTCCTCATGCTCTACATCTCCCTCCAGAGCCATGAGCAGCTGCCTGTACTCTTCTGTATGACTACAGTGCTTTTCCCTGGGTGAATGGAGCACCAAGTACTGCTGTCTGTGTGAGACAGAATGGAGGGGAGGGGCAAGGCTCTGGATGGCAGCTCTCTTCTCACTGCTCTTTGGTCCACTCTTTC